GGTTCGTTTATTTTCCCCCAAGAATACTCCATAGGTGATGCTATATACTTTTTCTTGCATCATTTCAGGAGGAACATGAAGTCTGATTGTCCTTTCAGTGATTTTAATACTGATCAGTGGGTTCTGGTGGTACCACCCACTACAAAGCTTTTCATCAATCTTTCACCTGATGTTTTAGCAGCTATTGATGATTGTTGTCTGGATCCATTATTTCATTTTAGGGGTTGTAAAATAATGATTTTTCTGGTTCTATCAAACCTCTTGCATTTATCATCTATGATTCTTCTATAAGGAACTTTCTCTAAACCTGAATGGGAAAGATGGGATAAATATTTATTGATTTTTAAAGTGGGGTAGTGCCCTAGCAACCTCCAAAGTTGACAAATGAGTATTTCTTTAAAGCAAGGTATGGCCCAACCAGTACTTTGAAACAGCATGTTTAGAATGGAGCAGGAAGAAACTGTATTTGAAAGCTCAAAAGCTGAAAGACTAAGAGGGCTTGAACAATAAGAGGACAGAACCAAGAGAAGTTGGCAACTAATTGGTTGTGGAGATTAAGGAAAGGTAAACATCAAAGATTGCCTCCAAGTTTGTTAGAAGGTGAGCAGCAGGATTCTGATGCCATTAAAGTAAATGCAGGTCTCAGTCAGATGAACCCCAAGAGCCACATGTATTTGAGGGGTACTTTGTCTCACACTTTTACCTGTTACATGGTTTTTAGCCATTTAGAATTTAAGCCAGTAGTGGGGACATCTATCAACATGGTGAGGTACAGCACGTTTGGGAGGGAAAACATTGAATCCCATTTGGTGATTGTGAGCTTGAGGTGCTGCCAGAACATTCCACTCAAGATAGGAGACTATAGGAAATGCAAGATAGGAGAGTTTTCCTCTTACATGTTAACTCTGTATCTCGAAATGGCCATCCAGGCCTCAATGATCTGCGGTCAGATCATCTATGACCATCTTCAAAATGGTCATAGATGAGGGGATCACAGTTGATAGATGTATGGTGACATTATTGGCTTAATTTCTAAATAACTAGAAACTGTGTAGTAGGCAAAACTGTGAGGCAAATAAAATGCTTCTCAAATATGTGTGGCTCTGATGGGGTTTAATTTCTTATGGCTGCTCTAACTAACAAATCACCACAAACTTAGTGGCCTAAAACAACACACATTTATTCTCTTACTGTTCTGGAGTCCAAAAGTCTAAAATGAGATTCACTGGGCTGCAGTTCACTGGGCAGGGCCGTGCTTCTCTGGAGGTGTCCGTGATGCATCCCATATTTAGTGTTTCCTGAGTAAGCCCCACCCATGCAGGTCTGCAGTGTTACCTGAAGAGACTTTTACACTCACTGGCTGTCTCCTGTGGTTTCTACCTAAAATTCTCTTCAATTTTTTTTAATAACAGTTTTATTGAGATACAATTCACATACCATACAATTCACCTATACGGTATACAATTCAGTAGTGTTTAGCATATTCAGAGTTGTGCAACCATCGTTTTTCTCACTCCCAAAAGAAACCCTAAACCCATTCGTATTTACTCCATTTTCCCTCAACTCTAGGTAACCACTAATCTACTCTCTATCTCTATAGATTTGCCCATGCTAGACATTTCACATAAATAGAATCATACATGTGGTCTTTTTCACTGAGTATAATGTTTTCAAGGTGCATCCCAGCTGTGGCATGAATTAGTATATCATTCCTTCTTATTGCCAAATAATATTCTATCATGTGGATATGTCACATTTTATGTATTCATTCACCAGCTGATGGACATTTGGGTTGTTTCTACTTTTTGGCTATTATGAATAATGCTGCCATGAATTTTGTGTACAAATCTTATGTGGACATGTTTCATTTCTCTAGGAGAATTGCTGGATCGTATGGTAACTCTTTCCTCATAACTTTGAATATCAAAATTATATCCATCTTTCAGAACCCAAATTGTATTATTTCCAAAGTGTTCAAACATCTCCCACTCAAAATGAATCTTCTTCCTAGTACTCCCATTGTTTACTACCTAATTGTTCTTACCAGTTTGTCTTAGAGCTCAGTCATTCCTACATAGCAGTTTTCTTCATTATGCTGCTAATTTCATTGTACTCTGAGAGCGGGGACAAGCTCTCTTACTCTTGTATACCACCACAAAGCAGTGAGTGCACTGTTGTGATGTGAAGAAAGCAGGAACTCTGTATGTACTTTTGAATTGGCGGGGAATGAAAAGTTAATTTTGTATGCTGGATCCTATAAAATGTGTCTAATAAATAATAATGTTCATTTTCAAATTTCAACAATTAAATGTTTAGCAAATAACACCTGAATTAAATGTTTGTTAGACAAATGAATTTGGTATGTTTTTGTATTTATTTTGAATTTCAGAAACTACAGTATTTTGGATTATTAATTAATAAGACATTTTAGAATTTCTAGATAGGGCTTTGAAAATAAACATAGCACAATATACACAAAAGTAAATGACAACATGATACTAAATTTTACATTGTTTTACAGTTTCGAATTTCATATGAATGTTCTAAAACAAATTTTAAAATTCTTTTTAATGTTTTGGTTCCCTCAGTGTTCATTATTGCCTATTTATAAAGTCATTAAAGGCCTAAAAATAAGTTTTTATTCAAATTGAAAGCCTGATTTTTTTTCCTTAAGATGAGGGTCTCTCACTATGTTGCCCAGGCTGGTCTCAAACTCCTGGGTTCAAGGGATTCCCAACCTCACCCTGAGTAGCTGGGACCATAGGCATGCACCACCGCACCTGGCTGAAAGCCTGTATTTTTATACTTCGATAGTCAAGAACAGAGGGATATCTCCCACACTCTAAGCTGGTCTAGTTCTAGTCCTAGGCCTGTAAATGTAGACCACAATCCTGGTGAAGTCATGGGTTCCATCAGTGTTATTCTGGCATTGTCACCATAATTGTCATCAACATGTTTAAAATATTTTAGGCCATGGAGCAGGTGTGGGATGTCCCCATAGTAAGAGGAGAAAGGGAAGCCAGTTCCTATCTAACTCCATTCCATCTGAAATTATCCATTTGGCTTTGGGATTTGGCTGAATGTTGGTATGTTGGCTGAAATGACACCAAAGTATTGCAAGGGCAAAATGTGCTCCTCTATTAGTAGCTATGAATATAATTATATATATACATATATATGTATTTTGTGTATATATATATTTGTTTGTTGGATTGTTTGAGACAGGGTCTTGCTCTGTCACCCGGGCTGGGAGTGCAGCAGCACAATCTCAGCTCACTGCAACCTCTGCCTCCCAGGTTCAAATAAATCTCATGTCTCAGCCTTCTGAGTAGCTGGGATTACAGACATGTGCCACCATACCCAGCTAGTTTTTGTACTTTTAGTAGTGATGGGGTTTCACCACGTTGGCCAGGCTCGAACTCCTGGCTTCAAGTGATCTGCCTGCCTTGGCCTCCTAAAGTGCTGGAATTACAGGAGTGAGCCACTGCACTTGGCCAATTTTATAATTTATTTTTTTAAACAAAAAAGTAAACATTAACCAACAGCATCCAACCATATAAACTATTATATGTATATGTGTGTGTGTGTGTGTGTGTGTGTGTGTGTATATTTATATATACACATTCATAAAAATAATGGTTAGTTTTCTGGATGAAGAACTGAGGCTCAGAAGTTAACTGGATTGGTGGTTCAAGCTAGGCTGCATTTTAGAATCAAGGGCAGTGATGCCCAAGTCACGGTGACCAATGGCATCAGAATCTCTTGGGGTGGGATCCTTTTATTATTATTTTGTAAAGTTCCCCAAGTTAAACTTGAAAAGTGAATTGGATCATATTAGGTCAGAGATTCATGCAAGTTGTACTACTGATTATCTTACCCTAGCAAGTGTAGGTTAGTCTTTGTGATATTCTTATGTATGCTGTTTCTAATAAAAGAGGAGGTTGATCTCTTGCTCAATGCAACTAAAAGGTGAGCTATAAAATCACACAGGTGATCACAACTCTATCCAAAAAATAGTGGTGCTCCATACTTAACCTCAGCACTAGTTCTTATCCATAGGTGCTTATCACTCATTCCTGGGACTTCAAAATAAATAATAGATATAGATATCCAGGAAACTACCTTAGACTAGATAAATCAAAATCAATCACTAGGAAAGACACCTGAGCATATGAACTTTCAAAAAGGTTCATCATTTTGATGCCTCACCCTTGATGGAGCTCTCTCATAGTATGCCACATGGTAGGTCCTTAGCTGTATTCAGTGAAATTACAGGGAAGCAGATTCCAGTTTAACAGAAAACCATGAAAATAATTTAGAGCTACCCAGTAATGGAATAGTTTTAAAGCAGTGAGCTCTGTGGCTGGAAGAATAAAAGCAAAGGTTGAATTATCACCTGCTGGGAATGGTATCAAGGGGTTTCTAAATTCAGTAAGTACTTGGATCACATGATATTTGAGTTTCCTCACAATTCTTAAGTTTCTATAGCCAAAACTTCAACAGATCACATATAATGGATATAGATGTTGTCATGAAAGCTCATGATTTTACCAGAAATTATCACAGTTATTTTGTCTGTAAAATGGATTAGGATTTAGTAGTTCTGATGGAACATTGCCTCTGACATCAGTCTTATTCAGGGGAATACTTTCCCCCTCCTCTTCATGCTTGGATGGAGGCAAGGGAACTTCTCTTTCCTCCTTCAAAGTGAAAAGTGTAGGAAAAAGCTCTGAACTCTCATTCATTGCTTCCCAACAGAGAACTGTCTTATCCTATGGGAGATACTAGAAAGAACTGAGCATGTGTGGTCCAGCCCCTGATGGTTTCCCTGACCTTGAAAGCTAACTGGACTCAGAATGCAAAGATGGGCTCTGCCCCAACAAGGCAGAGGCCCACCATTCTCTCCAATCACGGAGAAATATGAGTGTCTGACTGGAGAAAAAGTCAATCTTCTTCTCTATTTCAGCTTATTCACTGATAAAGTAGATATTTTTCTTTTCCTGACTCCCATTTCTTATTTCTCAATTTGTTCCAAAGTGAAAGGGGAATAAGAGAGTTACCTGTTGGTCCTTCAACCGCTCAGGTATCAAAATACAGCAATAAATTGTAACTGTCCATCTCTATGATACTTGTGTTCTGAAATGGCATTGCATTATTTTTTTCAAGTCAGTGAACACTCATATTCTAAAGTACAAAAAGAACAAAACATTATATAAAGTCCCTCTTTCTTTACTGGCATAAAAAATGCGGGATTTCTAACTGCTGAACTGTCTATCCCTAGGAAATAACAACATTTTTCAAGTTTCCACTTTATTGGGAATGAGCTTAGTCATGATCTGCAGAAGTTGGTCCTGGACAATTTGAAGATAGGTCTTCTTTATCTGTAAGTTATGTTAGGGAAATGAAAGATTAATGCAACTTCTATAGTAAACTATTCTAGAACACTATTTTACTATAACATGCATGTTTTGATCTGCTGTGTTTGCTACTTATTCTGCTAAACAAACCAGAAAAGATAAAAACAACAATAACCAAAAATTATTCACTCTCAATTACAAAGTTCTTAAATACAAGTTAGCAAAGGTAGTTGGGCAAATGTGTTTGAAGGAGAAACATTTGGCTCTCCTTCAAACTTACCTGGTAAGTGTAAACCATTTCTATTCTTACAATGAAAAAAAAAAAAGGGATGGCTTTCAACATATCTGATTTTTATGGTTTAGGGGTAATATTCTATCCAACTATATAAAAATTAGCTCTAAAAATTTAATATATTTCAAATATCTGTAGCCAAAGAAACTTTAAAAATAAAGCACAAAAAAATTCATTATCCTCAGGTTATTCTAAAATTGTTTCTTTTGAAACAAAACACTGAAAAATTCCCTTTCGCACATTCAGTTTCTGACAAGTTAAATGCAATTTTAATAAAGCCTCAATTATTTCTATAGCCACTATTTAAGACATTGGTCCCACATTGCCATTTGAATAGAGTAAGAAATTTCTGGCTGGCTGGCTGTGGTGGCTCACACCTGTAATCCCAGCACTCTGGGGGGCCGAGATGGATGGATCACCTGAGGTCAGGAGTTCAAGACCAGCCTGACCAACACGGTAAAACCCCATCTCTACTAAAAATGCATAGCCGAGCATGGTGGCACATGCCTATAATCCCAGCTACTTGGGAGGCTGAGGCAGGAGACTCACTTGAACCCGGGAGGCTGAGTTTGCAATGAGCCAAGATTGCACCATTGCACTCCAGCCTGGGCAACAAGAGTGAAATTCCATCTCAAAAAAAAAAAAAAAAAAGAAATTTCCAGCCAGGTGTGGTGGCTCATGCCTGTAATCCCAGCACTTTGGGAGGCCAAGGCAGGCAGATCACCTGAGGTTGTGAGTTCAAGACCAGCTGACCAACATGGAGAAACCCCGTCTCTACTAAAAATACAAAATTAGCCAGGCGTGGTGGTGCATGCCTGTAAACCCATTACTTGGGAGGCTGAGGCAGGAGAATTGCTTGAACCTGAGAGGCAGTGGTTGCAGTGAGCCAAGATTGCACCATTGCACTCCAGCCTGGGCAACAAGAGCGAAACTCTGTCTCAAAAAAAAAAAAAAAAAGAAAAGAAAAGAAAAGAAATTTCCATTGTTGCTGGGAAATTACTTTAACTACAAATCGGAGAGCATTCATATTCAGTATTTTTTAAAAGTATAAAGCATTTACTTACCTTCATAGGCTGTTCCACACCAAATACAATACAGATGTTCTTCTCTTAAATAACTAGTCAATATTTGTAATTTTTCCAGTACCTACATATAGGATACAAGCACATTAATACTTTACATTGAACAGAACCTTGGTTTTCTGGCTCTTAGATCATGCTGAATTAGCCCAAGCCTGCTATACTCTGGAATAGTTATTAGAAATGCCAAGGGCAGAAGTGATATATTCAAATGTGTTCCAGTTCACTAGCCACCCTAAGATTCTCACGATTCTGCCAGACACAATAAAGACTACTTGTTAACATTGAGAAAATAGTTTTTGGGTGGCCTAATTATAATCAGCATCCTTTAAAGGCCTTTTCTACTTTCAAGGCATCTAATTCTCCCAGAGAAGGTGAAGGTGAATATTGCCTCCTTTTGCCATAAAAGTTCTCATCAATGGTCTCCCAATTAAGTGGAATATAGGTTTTTCAAATTGTAAATGTTTTCTACAAAATTATTATACTCAAGTAACCACAGATGTGTATCTTCTCTTCTTAAATAATCTCAATTTCCTTTTTTTTTTTTTGAGACAGGGTCTCACTCTATCACGTAGTCTGGAGGGCAGTGGCATGATCTCAGCTTGCAACCTCTGCCTCCCAGGCTCAAGTGATCCTCCTGCCTCAGCCTCCCAAGTAGCTGGGATTACTGGATGCCCACCATGATGCATGGCTAATTTTGGTATTTTGAGTAGAGACTAAAATACACCACCATGTTGGCCAGGCTGGTCTTGAACTCCTGACCTCAAGTGATCCACAGGCCTTTATTGGGATTATAAGTGTGAGCCACTGTGCCTGGCCTCCAGTTCCTTTTGATTGTGTTTTTTTTTTTTGTTTATGAGCAAGAAAGAAAAGTACCTATTAGAATCACTTCTAGAAGTTTCGCAGGAAATAAAGTATAAATTAAAATAATTTACATTTGTTGCTAATTCATCAACCAAACTGAAGCTGAAATGAGAGGACAAATGGAAGCTAAAGGGAAAATTTATATATAAGTTTTAATTTGTGGTTAATAAAATAATCCTGCAATGCAGTACTCTCAACCAGGGGTTATTTTTCCGCTCAGGGGACATTTAGTAATGTCTAGAGAGAGTTTTGGTTGCCATAAGCAAAAGTGAAACAGGTATCTGGTGGGCAGAGGCCAGAGATGCTGCTAAACATCTTACAATGCACAGGAGAGCTCCCCACAACAACAGATTACCACAGATTAATGGTGCCAAGGCTGAGACATCCTATGAAGGAAATGGTGCAAAAGCTTACACTTAAATCTTCACTCTTATATTCATCTTCATCCTCTTCTTTTTCTTCTTCATCTTCTTCAGTCTCCTCTTCAAGCCGCAACCAGTACCATGCTTCCCTGGGAACCTGAATATTCTAAAAATACAGTTATTGTCAATTAAACATACTAAACATAAGAGCATGACAAATATGTTCCTGTCAACATGAATTCATTCTTTCCATACGAATTCACTGAGTGTGGCTTTAAGAGTAAGAACATTGGCCGGGCATGGTGGCTTATCCCTATAATCCCAGCACTTTTGGAGGCCTAGGCAGGCAGATCATGAGGTCAAGAGATCAAGACCATCCTGGCCAACATGGTGAAACCCACACTGTCTCTACTAAAAACACAACAATTAGCTCGGCATGGTGGTGCGTGCCTGTAGTCCCAGCTACTCAGGAGGCTGAGGCGAGAGAATTGCTTGAACCCAGGAGGTGGTGGTTTGCAGTGAGCCGAGATCACGGCACTGCACACCAGCCTGGTGACAGAGCAAGACTCCGTCTCATAAAATGAAAGTAAAAACATTGTACCGTGAACTATAGGGATGCAAAGTCTAATTAGAATTGTTCAATTATCTCTAAGTTCCTCCTGACAGTCTAGCAGGAAAGATAGGCTATGGGTACAAAATAATACATACATGCTACAAAATCATAAGTGCCATGAAATAGATTCAAAGTAAAGTAATACGTAAGAACAGGAAAGTAAGAGATTGCTTCCAGTAATCTATACATGAGGGAAATTTTACAAACTTTTTTGAGACTTCAAATGAAGTCATTTTATTTTTATAGTATTTGAACCCCTAAGACAAAAGCAAAGATAGAATTTATTTACTTATTTAATTTATTATTTTTTTTTTGGTAGAGATGGGGACTTGCTATGTTATCCAGGCTGGTCACAAACTCCTGGACTCAAGCAATCCTACCGCCTTGTCCTTGCAAAGTGCTGAGATTACAGACATGAGCCACCATGCCCAGCCAGAAATAGAATTTTTTAAAAACCATTCAAATTTGAACTAGATAGCTTTCCACCTTGATTTTATTTTTGAGACAGGGTCTCACTCTGTTGCCTAGGCTGCAGTGCAGTGGCACGAACATGGTGCAATGCAGCCCTCAACCTTCTGGGCTCAAGTGATTCTCCCACTTCAGCCTCCTGGGTAGCTGGGACTACAGGTATGTGCCACTACACCCAGCTAATTTTAAAATTTTTTGTAGAGATGGAGTCTTGCCATGTTATCTAGGCTGGTTTCGAACTCCTAGGCTGAAACAATCATCCTGATTTTGCTTCCCAAAGTGCTTGGATTACGGGCTTGAGCCGTCATGCCAGGCCCACCTGATTTTAATAGTTAAGACACGTATTAGATACTGAACAGGAACTGAAAATAGGCTATTCTTGTTAATCAAATATTATAAAGAATAGAATTTCTGCACATACTAGTTGTAGTTGATATTCAAATAAGCAGAGAACAATTAAATGTAAAATTTTATTTAAACCATTTTGTTTTAAATGGTTTAAATAAAACCATTTAAAACCAGAGTTTCATAGACAACTCAGGTTACTGTAGTAAATAAGCCATTTTTATATCAGTTATCCCAGTTCAGAAGTGCACATTACATGAAAGCTTTAATGAGTAAATAAACCAGGCTTGGTGTTCTTAGTTTTTTGTTTTTTTTTAAATATAAAAATATATGGGAACTCACAGTGGGTGCTAAAACACCTTACTAAACAGAAAGCTGGTAAAAGGCTTACTTTCTGGGCATCCAATTGTTGACAGGCTCGCTGGCTTCTTCTGAGATCTCCTTCTAGCTTCATTTCATCTTGCTTATTTTTAAGTCGCAGTCTAATTGAAAGAAAAAATTATACACTAAAGGTCTAGATTCTCTTTAACCATTTTATATGCCCAAGTACCAGAGAATGTACCACAACAAAGGAAACAAAACCAACATCAGTTAAAAAAATACAGCTTTACCGAAACTGTTCTGCAGCTTTTTCTTCAGCTTGGTTTTTCATGTGAATCTTTTTTCTGTAGCTTTCTAATTTTTCCTCTGCTTTCCGTTTTAATGATGCCTCGTGACCAATGCCACTTTTCCCTATTCAAACAGAAAATTCTGATGAGAAACATACTGACTTTTGCTTCCAAACATGACAATTTAACTATTTACAAATTAAATGCAATTCTCATTTGAGTACTATCACTCACAAATCATTTGAATACACTAATAGGAGAAAACATTAGTTTTTTTAAGCCCAAACACATAATCTGATTTTTACAAAGATTATTAATCTCATCTTATAAGACAGTAATACTATACACAACTTTTCAAATCAGAAAAATGGTATTAGCTGTTACACTTTTATTTAAATATGATTAATAAAATGCATCTTTTTCTCTTAAAATCATCCAATGTATTAAGCAAAACATTTGGTGCGTAAATCTGTCTCAGAAAACTTTTCTTTTCTTTCTTTCTTTTTTTTTTAACATAGGCTGGTATGCAGTGGCAAAACTACGGTTCACTGTAACCCTGAACTCATGGGCTCCAGGAACCATCCTGCCTGAGCCTCCTAAGAAGATAGGACTACAGATGCGTGCCACTACACCTGTCTAATTTTAAAAATTTTGTGTAGAAACGAGGTCTTGCTATGTTGCCCAGGCTGGTCTCAAACTCCTGGCTTTAAGCAATCCTTCTGCATCAGCCTCCCAAAACAAAACACTTTTAAGACATTTCAATGGAGAAAAGCAGTATTGCACGTTCAATGGTTATAATGATTTGTCCTTCCCACATTTGTGTGGTTTACATTTTATTTTATACTCATTAAAACTTATTTTTTTTCTGGTTGAGGAAGCTTAGAAGTTTAATAAAATTTTACTAAGGGCTTCCTATGATAAGAACTGTAACAGTACCATCATTAAAAAAAAGTATTTATTGAGTAAATATATGTGGTAGATCTAAGCATACATTATTATTACTGGCAAATATGCTCCAAAATAGTGACATACCTGTTTTGATATTGAGAGGAATTGGTTCAACAATACCACCCCCTAAAAGAGAATGAAATACAAACTACTTTAGAAAATTTTCCTCAAACTACAGGACACTGTAAGCATGCAACTTTACAATGCTCATACATATCCCTCCTTTTTCAATAATATTCAAAACTGAAATCTGAACACCAGTATTCTACATATAATCAATTACCTCCCTTGTCTTCAAATACCTAGTCTTCAAAAAGGCTGAATCACAGCCTCCTATGCCACCTGAAGGTGGAGTTTTAAGAAGGAACAACACTGATGTTATTGGTGTAAGAGGTTGACTGCCTTAAGTGAAAGCAAAGAAATTACAATAAAGGAAAGAAAAACTGTTGACAGAAGTTACTATAAATATACAGCCTCTCTATCTTAATAAGCAGTTTCACTTCCTAAAAAGAGAGGTGAGAATTGAGCCTCTCCAACTGGATGGTCACTCAGGTGGCTGCCACAGGTATAGAGCAAGCAGGGAAAGTCTTGCCATCATCCTCAGTGTTGTTTCAATGTCTTTAGCCATTGCACTTCTCAACCTATCACTTATCACTATTCTTTGCTGCTTCTGTTATAAGCCACATCCATCCAGGTTGTTAGTGCCTTCAAGGCTAAGCTGGGTTGATAAGTAGCTCATGATGGCACATGTGGTATCTAAAATGGATATGGGAATACGGAAGTTCTCCACAAGGCTTGCTAATATGTAAGAGAGTAAAAAGCCTAAGTTGTTTTAATTTCTGTGTAGATAAAGATTAAAGCATTAGCTTTGGTCCTCATCCGTAAGTCACAATCGGGTGGTAAGAAACACCTATTTCCACATGTGACTTACCACTCTTGCCAAGTGCCTGTCCACTTTTGTAGCCCATCTTTTGGAGCAAGGCAAACCCTTTGTTTTCACAGCCTAGTGCATTCTTCAACCCAATGTCACGTCTTTCTTGTTCTTCTTCTTTTAAACTCTTCTGCCTGTTTTTCAAATTAGCTTCCTGTTGCTTTTCTTCTTTTCGACGGGCTTCTCGGATTTGCCTTAGCATTGGCAATCCTGGTCTGATATCTTCTCTGCATAAGGGAAAAGGTCATTTTAGATGAACCCATAAAGTTTTGTCTCTCTCTCTCTCTCTCTCTTTTTTTTTTTTTTCTGAGATAGAGTTTTGCTCTTGTTGCCTAGGCTGGAGTGCAATAGCATGATCTCAGCTCACTGCAACTTCCGCCTCCTGGGTTCAACTGATTCTCCTGCCTCAGCCTCCTGAATAACTGGGATTACAGGTGCTCGCCACTGCGTTCTGGCTATTTTTTGTATTTTTAGTAGAGACGGGGTTTTGCCATGTCAGCCAGGCTGGTCTTGAACTCCTGAGTCCAGATGATCCACCTGCCTTGGCCCCCCAAAGTGCTGGGATTACAGGCATGAGCCACCATACCTAGCCAAGTTTTTTCATAACTCTGTCCTTAACTCACCTGACAACAGTTAATATTTCGGCACTACCTTTATGATCATCTTTGTGACTATGATATTAGAGCATAATCAGTGACCTCCAAGAATGGCTGTTTTAGTAGAAATGATGAAGACTTGTGCCAGATTATAGGAAAATAAAGCACAAAGTTGAAGAAATCAGATATAGTAGGTTTAGACTTACTATTTTTCTAGGATGTTGGCAATAATAAAGAACAAAGTTGAATAGTAGCTAGAAGAGACAATAAGATGAAATAAAGGAAAAGGAGTAAATTTCCTTGGAAGAAGGCAATAAAAAGGATCAAGGGCAAAAATAAAATGGTTGGCATTAAAAGGAGGAAGTGGCTCCTAGTATCTTTGCATGGAGACATAGGAGGTATTTCTATAAAGCAAGAAGGCTGACTTTCCAACTTCACATTTAAAATCATCGTCAGGCTTGGCACAATGGCTCATACCTGTAATCCTAGCACTTTGGGAGGCCAAAGCCGGAGGATCACTTGAGCCCAGGAGCTGGAAACCAGCCTTGGCAACATAGTGAGACCTTGTCTCTACAAATAATAAAAAAGTAGAATTAGCCAAGCATGATGGTGCAGGCCTGCAGTCCCAACTATTTAGGAGGCCAAGATGGGAGAATCTCCTGAGCCTGGAGAGTTTGAGGCTGCAGTGAGCTGTGATTGTGCCACTGCATCCAGCCTGGCTGACAGAGTGAGACCCTGCCTCAAAAAAAATAAAATAAAATAGAATAAATGTCACTGCTTAATATCTACATATCTTATACATATCATTACATTGGGTGTGCACATTTACTTACTGGACATTAATGAAGGAATCAGACATATAGTCCTCTTCTTCTGCCATGTTCAACTTCATATGGCTATAGTATCTACAAATAAAGTAATAATTACTTTTTTTTTTTAAGTTTACCAATATGGACATAAACCTTCCTGCAGCCATGAGCTGTCTCTAGAGCTCTACTACATATTCAAGTGCCCTCTGGACATCTTTATCTGTGGACACTTCAAACTCAACAATCTAAACAACTCATTTCCTCCCCCCTTCCCCAGCCTTCTACATCCCCTGTATTTCCATAATTATGTCATCATTATCTCCTTCTTCCTGACCTCTTATGAACCTCTGTCAAGTCTTCCTCCATAAAACTCCTCACAGACATTTTTTCTTCAGTTTTGACCACTGTTTTAGCTGAGGCATTTTTTTTTTTTTCTCACCTGAACTATTACAACAGGTTCTTCTTTTTTTTTCTTAAGATGGGGTTTCACCATGTTGGCCAGGCTGGTCTCGAACTCCTGACCTCAAGAGATCCACCCACCTCAGCCTCCCAAAGTGCTGGGATTACAGGTGTGAGCCACCACACCTGGCGTATAACAGCTTCTTAACCAGCTTCTAAGTTGGTCTCCTTGCCTTTGGCTTCTCCTCTTGCAATCTGTACTCTGGACCCCATCCAGAGATATTTTTGTTTTATTTGCTCATTTGTTTTTAAATACAAGTCAGGTCAGGTTACTAGCCTGTTTCAAATCCGTCAGTAAACCTGACCCTGTAGGCAATGGGGGACCAGTCACTTTTGCAAAGCATGAGCTACTATCCTTCATAATCTAACACAACTGTCCCTAAGGATTCATTACTGAAGCCACATTACTTCTCACTGCCCTCTGAACTCAGCACAGACATTTCTTCCCTGTAGGCCCAGGCCACCCTCCTTTCAGAAATCTGTCCTGACCACTCCAGGCCTTTCTCTACAGTACTTTATGTTCAAGCTGCTCACTTGGAACTTGATATAGTTAACACCTCGCTTACATGGAAATATTTTGAGGGACAGTTTCTATCCAAAATAGTTAAAACCATGTAATTATCGGCCCTTAAAGGTTAAAGTAATTATCTATAAAAATACTTCTCAAACTTTATTGTGTATACAAATTGCACCAAGATCTTCTTAAAATGCAGACTCTGATTCTGGGGCTGGAACCTGAGGTTTTGCATTTCTAACAAGTTCCCAGACAATGTCAATGTTGCTAGTTCAGTTACTGAAGACAAAAGTATAGTCACTTGTGGTGCACATATACTGTTTTTTTCTGCCTACCATCTTTTCCTTTGGGAACCCAACCCTCTGCCCTTCATGTGGTTCTAGTGGAGGATGGCAATGTCAGTATCCCAGATTCCCTTGGGCACAGAGATTGTCAATTATAGTACCCAATGTCCAGGAAGAGGGGAGGGGATGACCCAACGAGGCAAATAACCAACTCTTTCCTTACATTATATGAATATATGAGTTGTGTGGGAAAGAAATCCTTCATGGGTGTTTCTGAACTGGGAGTATGTAAAGCTGGGCTGTGGATGGCCATCTTCTTGACCATATGAAGGGAACTTGTCTGAGGAATGAACCTAGATAGAGAAAATGAGCCTAGTTTCCAAGGCTGTGGATTCTTTGATGCTGCAAGTAAGCATTCTACCCCATTGCACGGATTAATACATTTCTGCATTACTTAAGCTTGCTTAAGTAGGGGTTCTGCGAACTGCAACCAAGAGTCTAGACAATTACACTGGATGAAAAAAGGACAAAAAAAGAATTATTGTACTAATTTTTAATTTGGGGTGGGAAGAGAGTCTCACTCTGTTGCCCAGACTGGAGTGCAGTGGCGTGATCTTGGCTCACTGCAACCTCTGCCTGCTGGGTTCAAGCAATTCTTGTGCCTCAGCCTCCGAGTAGCTGGGATTACAGACATGCACCACCACACCCAGCTAATTTTTGTGTTTTTAGTAGAGACAGGGTTTTGCCATGTTGGCTAGGCTGGTCTCAAACTCTTGGCCTCAAGTGATCCACCTGTCTCGCTCGATCTCCCAAAGTGCTGGGATTACAGGCTTGAGCCACCAAACGTGGCCTGATTTTTAATATTTTTAATGTTTATCGTCTCAACTAGATAGTGTATATCTTGTGTTAAACACAAAGACAAGTCCCCTATACCCTCCCTCCCTACCACTGCATCTCAAATATAAATTCTTAGTAACCGTCCAGCTACATTGAAGACAAGAAGGGTCTTTAACATTTGTGATTTTGTAGTAACTTTCTCCTGTCAACATGTCATTTTTAAACACTTTTTAAATAAGTCTAAGTACAGAAAACACATAAGACAAATGTATAGCTTAATAAATTATTGTGAGTCAAACATAATGGTTTAACATTTACCCAGTATATCACACATTTTTATTACATTTAACCACCACTAACAACTCTACAAGGTAGGAATAGTTTTTCCTGTTGGACAAATGAAGTCTCAGTATGGCTAAATGACCATTTCAAAACCACAAAGGATCCAAGTCATAGTGTCTTGCTACTGCAAATAGGATTACATTGTTTTTAAGAGACCTATTTAACTTTAAAGTGCCAGGCACATCTGAATGTGGTTACAGGTTGCTTTTAAAGCTCTCTTTCTATTGGTAAAATGTACTTTAGCATTATCCATGTCCATCAAACATGAAGCATAAATTTCACAGGCGGTATCCCGGCAGAGATGACAGAGGCTTGGAACAGAGTGATAGCAATGGAAGTGGTCGCATTTGGGGTATACTTGAAGGTAGAGCTTACAGGACTTGCTGATGTTGTAGGTAGTATGTAAAGAACGATGTCAAGATAATGCTAAATTTTTGCCCTGAATACATGGAAGAATGGAGTTAACATTTTTGGGGAAGTGGGAAGACTGTAGGAGTAGGTTTGTTTTTGTATTTTTTAGCGGGGGTAGCCGGGAAACATGAGTGCTGTTTCAGACATATTGAGAGTCCCATTACATATATATAAGTGGAGAGGTGGACTAAGTATTTAGGTCTACAGTAGAAATGTGACAAGAAACATCTCGCTCTCAACACTCCGCTCAGGAACCGCTGATTCCTTCCCTCACGCGTTCCTCCTGGCTGCAAACGTCCCACAAACGCAATCACCCACGGATGGAAAAGTGGCTGATGGTATCGCAGGGTAGTCACAGCCAGCGCACGCTGTGTTTTATCTTTCTACCGGTTGTCCCCAGACCCTTACCTGACAGCTCTGTGCTCGCCCTGGTTCAGCTCCCGGGAGCGCGCGCTGCGCAGGCGCCCACGGACCAGCGTCGGACTTCCGGGCCTCGGCTCCCACCAGTTTCCGAGCGCAGACTGAATTGGAAACTTGGCGGTAGACGGGGCTAGGAGGACGTGGTGACTGCGCTTGCGCAAGACCAGCTTTCTGCGCACGCGCTTTTTCCTTGTTTCCTGCCGGCCGGAGTGCGGGAGGCGGGGTATCCGGGTCTCCTGGTGGCTGCCCTTGCTCTGCGGGCTCTACTGATCGGCTCTTTTAGACTAGGAGGTGAGGCCGAAGCATGCACGGTGACACGCACGCATTCCTGTCCCACCTACATTTTCAGAGGGGTGGGGAGGAAATTTGAGCTTGTAAGGAACGTTTTCGCTTTTCTGGCTCCGTGCTCGGTTCCGAGTCGCCGCCTCTTGCGATTGACAGCCTGCGGAACCCCACGGAGGCTTGCGGCGGCCTCTTGCGTTTTCCACGGTCCGGTGCTGCGGTTCTTGGAGTAGCCGGGTGAAGCCAGATCCTGAGCGCGCGATCCCGGACCGCCAGGGATTGTCACTGACGCTTCGGCCGCCGGGACTTGGCTGCCCCACCCATCCCAGTAGAAAAAGTCTTGGAGACCTGCGGTTCGGGATGTCTGTGCTGGGTGTTTTGACCTCGGTCCCCCGGTCAGGTGCCGCGCGGGTGGGTAAAGGTGCGATATACCGAGCAGTGGACGAGAAAAAGAAGAGGATGGTTGTCAGGCCCGACCGGGGTGTTTAATCTTAGTGCCTCAGTTTTCTCCTTTATAGAACGGGTAAATGACATATGTGTTGCTGGGCATATTTCTTCTAGAGTAATGCCTTTTTATTGCAATATTTAATTTTCCTTTCACCTCATGATTCATTCTTCCTTATCAAGCAGTTTTCTTTTGTTTTTGTTAGCATTTTTGTCCTTTAAAAGTATGTTCTCCGGTTTTGCCTCAAAGAAGTTGTGTTTTCCCCAAGTGAAATGAGAGTAATACTTTTCTTAGTGGATATATTCATTAAGCTTGACTTTTGACATTAAAAAATATTTATTTTTTACTCTGTTAATTTAAGGTGTGAATTTAAAACTTCAGTAATGGAGTTGGCCCACAGTTTATTGCTAAATGAAGAAGCTTTGGCTCAAATCACCGAAGCAAAAAGGCCAGTTTTTATCTTTGAATGGTTGCGATTTCTTGACAAAGTCTTGGTTGCCGCCAACAAGGTATGGTATTGCTTTTCTTTTTTTCCCAGTTGCATTAACGTAAAGAGATTATGTGTTCATGATTCGTAAGAAAACACACGTTATGTTTTGGAAGGTTTGTGGGTAACTTATGGAACTTGAGAATATTACGCTAATGGGAATTGCTGGTCTATTCCGTTTCCGTTTAGTGGCAATGCTTCGTTTAAATGCAGCTCATTGCCTATCTACTTTATGTCTCTACCTGGGTAGCTCATTGTAACTGAGAAAAACATGACTATGTGATGTGTCACTTTAAATTTATCATCACCAATTGCAAGTGGTCTCTCTGTGCTGCCTAACAATCCCAGTATCTTCACTTATCTCTCTGAGGAGTTAATAGCAGACTTTTTTCTTTGTTTTCTTCCTGTGTAACCTTGATTCAACTTGCTTTTTATTGTCTGTGTCTTTTATATTTATGTCTTTAAATGTAGATGCAGCCGGGCCTAGTAGTAGTTCATGCCTGTAATGCTGGCTCTTTGGGAAGCTGAGGCGGGCGGATCACCTTAGGTCAGGAGTTCGAGACCGGCCTGGTCAACATAGTGAAACCTCGTCTCTACTAAAAATACAAAAATTAGCCAGGTGTGGTGGGGGGCGCCTGTGATACCGGCAACTTGGAGGGCTGTGGCAGGAGAATCGCTTGAACCCAGGAGATGGAAGTTGCAGGAAGCCTAGATAGCGCTGTTGCACTCCAGCCTGGGCAACAGGAGTGAAACTCCCTCTCCAAAAAAAAGAAAAGGCAGGCATGGTGGGTCACACCTGTAATCCCAGCGCTTTGGGAGGCTAAGGTGGGCAAATCACAAGGTCAAGAGATCTAGACTGTCCTGGCCAACATGATGAAACCACTTCTCTACTGAAAATGCAAATACTAGCTGAGCGTAGTTGCGAAGGCCTGTAGTCCCAGCTACTCAGAAGGCTAAGGTGAGAGAATTGCTTGAACCCAGGAGGTGGAGGTTGCAGTGAGCCGAAATTGTGCCACTGCACTCCAGCCTGGCGACAGAGCAAGATCCATCTCAAAAAAGTTAAAAAAAAATGTAGATGCTTTCCTCAAATGTCTGATGATCTTTGGCTGCCCGCTCAAGTTTAAAAATGAGTAGTAAAAACTTGTCTTGGCAGGACCAGTCTCTTAAACTGGACATCACTGTAGGCGGGGCTGATTCGTGACCTTAGTATTTTAGCTTTCTGCAGGCTAGTCATTCCCCAAAAGATACTTTTCTGCTTTTGTGTCTGAAGAGTATATGGCTAGCTGCCCACATTCTTGGAATTGTGGGAGAAGACTGGGTACATTAACATTGAGATGTGAACTTTCACTGCATCTCCCCATTTTCAGTGCTGTTTTCCCAGACCGCAACCGTGCCTGGGCTCTCCTAGTCCAGACATACAATATTTCACTCTTCCCAGAGAATATGCTTTCAGTCTTCTTCCAGAATGGAGTAGAGGAATCTTACTACTTCTTAGACTGTCAACCATTCCCTCTATCTCAAGGTCCAACTTCACTCCCACCTCCAAAGCACCTAGGGCGTAAAAAAAAACCCATAATTTCTTAGGGGGTCCTGTGTTGTAAGGTAGGTCATTTCTCAGCTTTCTCCGTTGGAAATACTTGTTTTCCAAATATTGTGTTGATTCTTTTTCCTGTTTTCTTTACCCTTTGGATTTGTGCTTTGTTGTTGTTGTTGTTACCCTTTAGTATGGTTTTAACGGAGTTTCTATAGAAACAGTTAATGCATGGATTCACTTGTAATCTTTAACTAAAAGTTTCTGTTTTCTCTTAAATCCCCTACAACTGGGCTTTTGTTACTTCCGCTCCACTGAAACAGCTCTTGTCCAACCATCACTGATTACAGATTGCCCAAAACAGTGGTCAGTATTCTGTCTTATTTGATCCATCTCCATCTTTCACCTTGAAACACTTTAAACATTTTTAATTTTGTTGCAAAATTGATAAATACAAGAGTATATAAAACATTTCTAAGTTATGAAGCATAATAATATAAATATCTGTACACCTCCACCCAAATTAAAAAATAAGATTGTTATTGCTTTGCACAGTTTGTGTGAAGTTTCTTCCTGTTTGTGGCTTCCCAAGACACTGTTAGGTTTTAGTTCCTCTCCCATTTCACTAACTGCTATTTTTTTTTAACTCTTCCTCAGTTCAGGGCATTTAAAAAAAATTTTTATACATATTCCTTTAGTGATATCATCTAATTGTATGATTTTTACTATCATCTATATAATAATTATTCCCAGGATAATGTATACTCCACCTCTTTCTTATCTAAGTGGCATCCCAGATTTAACATACCCAAACCAAATTCTTGATTTCTCCTCCCAAACCTCTCTTTCTCCTGTGTTCTCTATCTCAGGAAATGACCATTGCATCCGTCTAGCTGCTCAGGGTGAAAACCATAGAGTCATTTTTGAATTCCCTCTTTTTCTCAAACTTCTCATTGTATTCACCAGCAAATCCTCTGGTTTCATCCACAAATGTATCCAGAGTTTATTTACTTATCATCTCCACGGTTACCACAATCATCTCTCATCTGGATTATTGCATGTGCTTCCTATTTGCTGACCTATAACTTTATGAACTACTGACTTTGCTTTTACATGGGAAACCTGAGTTCTACAACATCAGTTATCCATACATCCAATATATCTAGTAGTTTGCATCCTTCGATTGTTGGTTTATTTCTTAGTAAGTTAATCTTGTAACTTTTTGAATCAGAGTTTTCACTTTTATTGGAGCTAACCTTTTAGCTTTGGAGGAGAATGAAGGAGAATATTTAATATAGGAAAAAAATGGCTCTTTTTTTTTTGAGATGGAGTTTTGCTCTGTCACCAGGCTAGAGTGCAGTGGTGTGATCCTGGCTCATTGCAACCTTCATCTCCTGGGTTCAAGTGATTCTCCTGCCTCAGCCTCCCAAGTAGCTGGAACTACAGGCGTGTGCCACCACACCCAACTAATTTTTGTATTTTTAATAGAGACGGAGTTTCACCATGTTGTCCAGGATGGTCTTGACCTCCCAACCTTGTGATCCGCCCGCCTCAGCCTCACAAAGTGCTGGGATTACAGGCATGAGCCACTGCGCCCGGCTAAGAATCGCTCATTTCTTACTGAACTTTTCCTTATCTTTAAAATTCTCATGGTTTATGTTTAATGTAATATAGATTTTTAATTATCAGAGTGCCTTAAGTGTTAAGTACTTTTATTCTGATTAAAAGGCAACAAAATTTTTTTAATAATGTTCTTTAAAAAATTTTTTTGTAACAGACCGATGTAAAGGAAAAACAGAAAAAACTTGTCGAACAATTAACTGGATTAATAAGTAGCTCACCTGGACCACCTACACGAAAATTGTTAGCTAAAAATCTTGCAGCCCTTTATAGCATTGGGGATACTTTTACGGTCTTTCAGACACTCGATAAATGCAATGACATTATCAGAAATAAAGATGATACTGCGGCCTACTTACCAACAAAATTGTAAGTACTTACTTTAACAGGGGCACTTGAAATTTTCTTTTTTCTTTCAAGGAAACTTAATCGGAGACTGTGGACCATAAAATCCCCCAGGTAGGTGGAACCTGAGACATGTTACTAACAATGAAAGCTCTAAGTGGGTCAAGTTGTGATGGGAAGATAATGAGTTCAATTTTAGGCATGCTGATTCTGGAATACAAATGGCAATATCCAAATGATAGTGTATAATAGGTAGTTGGAAATTCTAGTTGGGATTTTAGAGATTTGTTTGGAATGTAGTTCTGGTGAGCAGGCTGAATCCTTTGATATGAGTAAAGTTACTGAGGAGGAGGAGTATATTTGAGAAGAGAAGATAGCTAGGGATACAACTCTAGAACGTCAGCATTCAAGGGTCCATGGTCAGTGT